ATGTAGCTTTTAATGAGTCTATTAAAACAAACAATTTAAAACACTGACCCATTTGAAAATAACATCAGAAAAACACAATGTGCTGATATTCAGATGAGATGCTCTTACAGGAAACTCATAAATTATGTTATGAGCATTTTAGTGGAATGGACTCATATCCATCTCTCGCAGTAGTTTGAAATGCTAAAGGCAGACTGCATTAGCCCAGGTTGTGCTGGGTGTTTGGTTCTTAAAGTTCCTGTTGATTACTCCAGTTCTTCATCTGCAAATGCATGTGCATGGGCAAGCTCTGCTTCCACCAGCAGCCTGCTAGAAATCCCAGCAGCCAAGCCTGTCTGGTTTCACCATTAACTGATCTTTGAAAACACCAGCTTGATACCGTATGTCTGTATTTAAGTGGCAGATGTACAGCCTTGGCGTTTCGCTTCTTGTGGCTTTTATTTCTCATCCAATTTACTGGTAACTTGATGGCATTTGTTGTTGTTTTTTTTTTCAGAAAATAAAAGAAATCACCTACATGCACTCTGAAGGTATCCTGGCTGGTGAGCTGAAACACGGGCCGTTAGCCCTGATTGATAAACAGATGCCCGTTATCATGGTGATAATGAAGGATCCTTGTTTTACCAAGTGCCAGAACGCTCTGCAGCAGGTCACTGCTCGGCAGGTGAGCTGTTTAACTAAGGCAGTGTCATAGGGGAGGAGATTCTGCATGTTGTATGCAATGTCATAGGGGAGGAGATTCTGCATGTTGTATTGCTGCTGACTGTACCTCAGAAAAGGGATGTATTAGTGATTATTTTTTTTCCCTAAATATTAAGTTATAAATAAGATGCTATATCTGCTTTGTAGACAATCGTTACAGGTTAATACCAGTAGTGAAAACTGGTGGGTTGTTTGTTTGGTCATTGTCTGTGGGTCGTTTGCTTGGGTTTTTCCTTTATTTTGAAGCAAATGTAATAATGTTAAAACTAGGGCTGTTGTTACAGGTTAACACCATTAGTGAAAACTGGTGGGTCATTTGTTTGGGTTTGTTTGGTCATTGTGTGTGGATCATTTGGGTTTTTCGTTTGTTTTGAAGCAAATGTAATAATGTTAAAACTACAGGGTAACAAACTCACAAAACTGTGGATGACAAAAGTCATTAGGAAGACTGGCATTGTCATAAAAACATTCAAGTCTCACAAAACTGTGGACGACAAAAGTCATTAGGAAGACTGGCATTGTCTTTGTTAGCCAACTGAGCATCTTCAAACATACTAGAGTCATGCTGTGAACCAATATTTCAGCAGTTCGACGTTCACTTAACTCTGCAACAATTTTATTTTCAGGGTCGTCCAATCATTCTGTGTTCTAAAGAAGACACAGAAAGCTCAAAATTTGCCTACAAAACCATAGAGCTGCCTCATACTGTTGACTGCCTTCAAGGAGTCCTGAGTGTTATTCCTCTCCAGTTGCTTTCATTCCACCTGGCTGTTCTCAGAGGATACGATGTAAGTGCTTTCTATATTTAGCCCTCCAGTTAGTGCACTTTTGAACTTCCTTCTGCCAGTGTAAAGTTCGTGTCGTTACTGGAGCTTATAGTGACTGTGGTAGAGGCAGCATTTCAGTGCCAATTCTTCAGCTTTTTATTTTTTTTTAATTAGTATCCTTCTAAAAAAAAAGATAATGTGCTTAGTTTGATTAATTAAGAGTGCAGATAAGACTTTTTCAGAGAACTAAATCTTAAAATGTGATCTTGCACTTTAACCTAAAATAGTTCAGTGCTTTGTACAGCAGAGTGTGTTGACGCTGGTGAGGTGTGTCAGTCTGAAAATGACTGCTTTGGAAAAGTACCCCATGCAAAACAAATATGTATTTGTTGGGAGGGGGTTGGAAGGAAGGAGGAATTCAACAGTGAGTCATTATCTGCAGATCTATAGTCTCTCGTGTGTGTTGATGTGTCTAGAATAAAGCAGAACTCATTAGGAAGTCTAAAAAAAGCACGCTAAATGAACTGTCAAATGCAGAATGTCAGTATTAATCTGTCATATACTGAAAGTCTGTCTCTTCATTCTAGGTGGACTTTCCAAGAAATTTGGCCAAATCTGTTACTGTAGAATAACAGCCAAGAACAGCTGATGTTGTCACCAGACCTCCGAATTATACTTGTAGAAAATGTGTTGTTCTGAATTGACAGGTACATGTTTTTCTAACAAGAACGGCGGTGCTAACTGGAAAGCAGAAGGTTTTATCTTGCAGCTTTAAAAGCTTTCGATGTGCCTTGTACCCAAGTGCTTTTGCTTACAGCAAATACTCCTCTAGGTCCTGAAATTGCCAAAGAAGATAAAAATTGTTTACACATTGTATACTGAATGAACTTTTCTACTGTGCAATATATATATATGTACAGCTCTCTTCAGAGTAACTGTGAACTTTTTTTTAGCCTACACTACTTAACTAGTTTTAAAGATATAGTATTTATAACTACAATTGTATAGCTTTTTTTAAGTTATTTTTTTAGTATGTTGCTTGTCTGTAGCATTGGTAATGCTCAGAATGTAAATACTGAGCATGTTGTCACTTGTACAGTTGTTAGGGGTTTTTTTTATTTCCTTACTTCAGCCTCAAACTGGAAATTTGCTGTCCCTCTTCCTCCCCAGCTTCCCCTCCCCACTTTGCATCTATGTTTTGTATTTAACCGATCATTTGCAAAGCTCTCCTGTGGCTGTAAATTCCCAGCGATGATTTAAGTTTCAGCTTCTTTCAACTAATTATTTGAAAAGCCAGAGCGACGTTCTGTTTTGTATTCCACCCCAGCTCTTATTTGCATAACATGTACAGTGCAACAAAGTAAGGGAACTGGATGTCTTTCAAGTGATATTTCTGTTTGGAGAGTGTACAATGAAATCACAATGCAATTAAAAGATTATATAATTCTTCTTGTTTGGGGTTTTTGTTTTTGGTTTATTTTTTTAACTTGATGACTCCTCATCTCGGGTCAGAGCACAGATACACCACCGCAGCACTCCGACACAAGGAGGAGAGAGACACTGCTCTCCCCCAGCCTTGTCTAAATCCTGATAACAGAGTTTTTCCTCTGTTTCGGGGGTTAGTTCTGTGTCACACAGGTCTCCCAGGTAGGCACACCTTCCTTTTCCTTATCCAGCAGCTGCCTTTCAAAATAATGTGTCGGGTTTGGGTATCACCAACTTTCTGAAGCACATGAGTACAGGAGAACTGAATTTAGTGACTGTTCATCAGTGTTTTGCCAGACGTGTACTGATACAGCAGCATAATCCCCAGTTATAGCTCCCACTGTAGTTCACACCAGCTGCTGATTAAACCTTTGTATTTTACCTTTTGCTGAGATGGAAGAATGGGGGAAGAAATTGGCTGCAGGTGAAAATAGAAACTCTGTCTGTGGTTCTACTGTTTATGGTCATAAAGTTGCCTCCTTGGCCAAGAAAAAAATGCCATAAATTTGCATTTAATATAGTATCTAAACTACAGATACTGGAATATATATTTAAAAAGACCCAACACCCTGTACTGGCAAATAAGAGAATACTAAGTACATCTTTAAGCTAGGACCAAAGCCCTATTTTATTTACATATATATCTGCTAAAGCACACTCTGCTAGTTGTGAACTAACTGGCATCTATAAACCTCAAAGAAATAAGGTAGATACACACACGAAGTTCCCTGCTCATTTGTTATATTGTAATGGTCAGAAATCACAGTGTTTAATTTCTGTGTTTTTGTTAAATTTTTCTACTTTAGGATTTGGTTTCTTTATGATACTTCTCTGCAGGCTTGCTTCTAAACGAAGGTATTTGAATGTAGGTTAATAGCTTAAAAGTGTCACCCCAGCTGTTGTAATAGCAGCTTCTTAGTGGAGACTGCCCTAGTACTTTTTATAACCACATAAAAGATAGGCGATAATCTGACCTAGATGCCAAGAACGTTGTAGCTCAGTAGCCACCAGGTTTTGGTAAGTGATGCAAAGGCCCCTTTTACTCTATATAGAATTAGTATCCTCTTCATATTAAAGAGTGGAGCTATTGAAGGAGACTGATATGAGCTCATCTATATGATACATTAAATTCATTTATTAAAAAAAAATTACAGGTGGGTTTTTTCTTTCTAAAATCATCAATGAGAATAGGAATTGCCACAAAGAAAGCTCGTTAGGCTGAGGACAGGTGGAAAAATATATTGAGTTTATTTTCAGTCAGCATCTCTATTAAAAACCAAGCAGTCCTACCACCAGGGCAGGGGTATGGTGATGTATAGAAGGCTACGATTTGTGACTGGGGTCAGAAATTCCTGGGGAGGGACTGAGTCCCTTCCCTTCTGCACTGGCCACCCTGGAAAAGCCACGAGAGCCCCATGCCCCAGCTCTTGGGGCCACCACCAACCCAACGGGTCAGCATGGCCCTGTGAGCCCCATGCCCCAGCTCTTGGGGCCACCACCAACCCAACAGGTCAGCATGGCCCTGTGAGCCCCATGCCCCCAGCTCCTGGAGCCACCAGCAACCCAACAGGTCAGCATGGCACTGTGAGCCCCATGCCCCCAGCTCCTGGGGCCACCATCAGCCCAACAGGTCAGCATGGCCCTGCTCCGTGGGACTGGGCACACCACTGTCATCTCAAAGCGTGGATGTGAGGTGACTATGGGTGACACCATGGTGTGTCATGGTGCTGGGACAGGCCACCAGCATGTGATGTCAAATGACCGTGAGGATCGGTGCCACAGCAACTCCCGGCGAGGCACTGCCGTGAGGTGACATCACAACTATGGTGACAGCTTGACGTGTGATGATGACATCACGCCAGGGGGTGGGGGCCACGCCACGATTGGCCTAAGCGTCCCCGACTCCACTGCAGTCCTTCACCGCCCTCCCTTATATAGCGGCCACGAGGTCCCGCCTTCGGATCTCGATTGGTTGCTCTTCGCCGGCAGAGAGTTACGATTGGTCTGGGCGGCTGTCTGTCAGGGGGCCGGGGCCTGGCGCGGCCTGTGTGGAGCACCGGGAGGCCATTGTGGCTGGGGCGGCTCTGCGCGCCGGAGGAGGAGGAGGCGGCCGCCGCGGCCCGCGAGCGCCGCGCCCTGTCCTGTCCCGCCGGAGCTCGGCCGCGGGAGGAGACGGTGAGGGAGGCCGCCGTGAGGGGGGCCCTGCGGGCGGCGGGGCCGGAGCGGGACGAGCCCCCGGCCTTGGGGTCAGCCCTGTGGCTACGGGAGCCCCCGGCTTCTCCCGCGGGCCCCGCCCGCCGAGGCGCAGGCAGAGCCGGGGTTCCCCGCGTGCCTTTTCCCGGGGCCCGGCCGAGCGGGAGGGCGGTGAGGAGAGCGGCGCGGTAAGGCCAGGGGCCCCCTTCCTCCTCCGCGCCTCTCCCCCGGGGCTGCCCCGGCCGAGCCCCCCGCCCTTCCCTGTGTGCCGCAGTGCCGGCCCCGGCCCGCTCCGCCGGGCGCCGTCTCTCCTCCGCCTTCTCCCCTCTCGTTTCGTGTCCGGGATCGCCCCCTGTCCCGCCGGTGCCGCGGTGGGCGGCCGGGCCGGCGTTCGGTGTCCTGGGCGGGTGGGAGGGAGGGAGCGCGGGGGAGCCGAGGGCAGGGCCCGTCCTGCGCGCCCCTCGCCGGGGCCAGCCCCAGCCCCAGCCCGCTCTTGGGCCGAAGCAGCTTCTCCGCTGAAGTTTCAGAAGAGGAGTGAGGGGTGCTCCGGCTCGGTTCTGTGGCCTTACCTTATTTTACAGCAGCTTAATTGCTTGCAGCAGATGAACGTCTAAACTTTTTCCCCTCTTTCCACCGACTTACCCCAGCAGGGGTGTTGAGATCTATACAGTGTTTGTCTGCGGTGTATGTTTAACAGCTGAATGATACTATAACAGGTAGTTGGTGAAATCGTTGGTCAGTAATAGCTTGAAGAAAAAGGTTGGCTTTTCAAAGAGCTGAGCAGAGTACCTCTAAACTCTGCCCTAACTGGTTGACGTTACCCAGCTGCTGCTCTGCTACTCTTACCTTTGTGACAGGCTGATCATGGGCTGTGAGTAGAGGGATAGGAGGTAACTCACTGATTTTGTAGCTGGACTCATACCTGTTGATATATCTTCTTGTAAAGATAAGGAAAAAGCCCTCAACATTCTTGGATAGTAGCCCTTAAAAGGGCACACCTGAATTCAAAGTGTATTTGCAAGGGTGAATAACAGAATGGGGAGAGAATTTCTGCACAGAGTCTTCGTGTCTTTTCTTTTCATAAATATATTTGTTTATTCATTCTGTCAGCAGCAGAATTTTAGCTTCAGGCTTAAAAATCAAGCTAAGTTTCTCAATGTTCTTATGCTTCATTGTCAATAATAACATTTCTGTAACCAAAACAATCCTGGAATGTGTTCCCGACTGCTACAACCTGTTTGTTTCAGAAGCTTTTGACTTGAAGATATCCAGAGGACAGATCTGGTTAATAATAAGTTGCCATTTTAATAAACGCCTTTTAGGGAAGTGACTTTGATACAGGATGTACGCTATAGTGCGGTTGCTTTCACCTTCTAAAAATTTCTTAGTGGAATTCCTTATAACAGCTCATAAGCCTACAGTGATGGTAGGTTTGGTCTGTTAGTTATTTTTCTAGTTATCTTTCATGAACTATAAGTTGAAAACCACTCCTGTAAGTTTCTTGCATGTGATGTGGTCAGTCAGCTTTGTGATTCTTGTTTCCCCAATTGTACAAGCAAGTTGTATTAAAAAACCAAAACACCCAATTTATATGCATATTGTGCATGCTCTGAAATAGAAAAACATCTTGAAACATTGTAATTCAGTAACATGCCATTATCAATAAGCAGAAGTGTGTTTGCTGACCATCCTGTGACTTCTACATTTGCTGCTGGTTCTGTTAGGTGCAGTTGCAGCTAGGAAGCCATAAATGAAACCTTATATTTCAGAAATGGAGAAATAGTGATTACTTAAAAATAAAATAAATAAATTCTTGTACAGGGGAAGTGTGGAGTATGTCAGCTGGAGTGATGAATCAAATTATTTCAGGTAGGAGGGTAACAGCTCAGCATTAAGAAACTACTTGCTAGATACACTTTTCTTTTGAGCAATGGGAAATCTGTTTTTATTTGAGGGATCTTGCCCCTAAAATAGATTGTCTGTCTAAAGTCCTGAAAACAGCTGCAATTTCTAGGCACCTAATTTTTTTACATTAATGTGTATGTCTGCAATGATGTATGTCCTGATGCATCCAAGGAGCTTGCAGCCCAAATGAAAATTAGGGCTCAGCTTATGGAGAGGCCAGGTACTTAGCATGGACAACTGCAAAGGTTGTCAGAATACATGTAACTTGTCTGTTGTGATGCCTAATGGGTCTTGTCTGAAGGGTTTATCCTGGTGTCTAAATGTTGGTTTTTATTAGAAGGTGGCTTTGTACAGACAAAGCTCCTTAACGAGAGGGTTTCTCTGGTTCAGGATAACTTCCTTTTCCCCTACTTCTTTATCTCTGTTGTAGAAAAATGTTTCATTAACCCATGAGGAGGTACGTTGTAGTTCTTGTGTAACTAACAGCTCTTGATATCCGGCTTATGCAAAATCTATACTTTTTTGGTTTTGTTCTGTAAGCCCTTTTCAGAGAGAGGATTTTGACCTTCCAGCTGTACCTTTCTTCCAGTGTATGAAGATTCACTGCAAACACCGTGGCTGTTTAGGGACTGTTAATCAACAAATTTGGTACCTCAGAGTCTGTAGCTCTGGAGTGATAAAAAGCCTTAGAAAGAGGAGTTAGTTTTTTGCTGGGATGTTGTAGGAGAGGTCAAAAGCGTTTTGGTCTCACATTAGTGTGAGCTGATTGTGGAACTGCATCTGACTGCCTCCAAAAATACTGTATGGGAGATGTGATTCTCTTCCTACTACTGCAGAGGTGGCAGAGGCAGAAAGTTGATAGATCACATTTTCCCTTTGCTGATCCTTTCTCCTCTGATTTTTTTTCCTTAAGTTTCTAAGAGGAAATATCAAGTAAACTTAGTTTAAATTGCTTCCAGAGGGGACCAAGTTGAATATCTACTTCTTGAAAGGCTGCTTAGATTTTGAGAAGCTGGAAGGTAAAAGAGACTTCTACACATTTCATGAGAATCCCTTAAGACCAGCTATTATCAGTTCAGTCTTTATTGGAATTTGTAGGTCTTCCACCTGTTTTACTTGCAGATTTCTTGGATTTCATCTGCTGGCTTGAGCCCTGGAAAAGATGCTGCTCCCTCCTGCCTGCACGTAGGAAGAGAGTGGTCCACGTTTTAATCCTTGAAGCAAGGAAAAGCTATTTGTGTGGCTGTGAGGCCTTCTAGGATGGGCTCCTGGGTTGCTCTTGAGGCTTTTGTGTTTTGCGGTGGCTCACAAATGTTCCGGAGAGAGAATTGCTGCTCCTTCTTTAGCTGAAACACGTTGTGTCAGGCCGGTGGTTAGGACAGCTGCTCCGGGGGAAGGTGATCTGCTTTCATTTCCCGTTTCAAGGAACACTCGACTGTGCAATTTACTCTGGGCTGTAATGACACTATCTGTCACAGCGAATGTGAAATTAAAAATGGGAGAATTTGTTAGAGGCCTCTTCAGTAATTTTCTTTTAAGGTTTGGAAGGGGGATGGATGCCCAGGAAAACTGGAGGTCTGTACTCTCGGTACTGTAGCACTTTAGCTCTAAAGAGCTTTAGTCCATTACCTTGCTCTCCGATGTAATTACCTACCTCTAATTCATTCCTGACAGATGGATATAACTTATTCCCTATTACAGCATGCAAGTCTCTTTCCAACTATAGCACAAACCTAATTTTTGTAGGACTACAAGCACAGTAGCTGATAGTGTAGGGTGGTATGGTGTGTTTAACACGGGAGGAGGATGGGTTGGGATAGCTCTGGCTCAGAGAAGGGTTGCCTGGCAGAGGTGAGGAGGCAGAACCCTGCTTGAAATTCCTACTGAACCAGGCTGAAAGGGATATTGGAGAAACTGCAGCAGCCATGGGGATTTTGAGGGGCAGTTGATTACAACTGCAAAACAGGTTTGAAACGAAGCAAGTCTTTTATTAAAACCCTGTTTCTTTTCTATATCCATGGACTCCGTGGGTCTCCACTGTCACTTTCATCTGCATTATGAGTGTTTGAAGGACCTAATTTATAATTTTCTTTCTGTAATACAGAACTTAATAGAGTCCTAGCACACAGTAGTAATTCTAAGTTAGGAAGTAGCTGTCAAGGAGTAGAGTTGTTGGATTTGGGTGGTTTTGTTTGGTTTTAGTTGTTTACTTAGCTGCTTTTTGTTTTAGAGACTGGAATCCAAATGTGCATTTAGTTAAAGCTGTGAAGTCTATAACTGTTTGCTGTCTGTCTGCAAGTATTTTTCATTAGCAGTGGTAATAGACAAAGTTGAAAGAATGCTTATTTAATGGTATGCTATTGAAAAATTCATACGTATTAAAATATGAATAATATATTTTCCATCTTGCTTGGAATTAGTGAGAGATTGAACATTTGTTTTCTTTCTTTTTCTTTAAGATCTTGAAAACTTTACCAGGTCCTTGAGAGAGAAAACTACATGACACTACACCATGAGTGACAGTAAATGTGATAGTCAGTTTTACAGTGTTCAAGTTGCAGATTCAACATTCACTGTACTAAAACGTTACCAGCAATTGAAGCCCATAGGATCAGGGGCACAGGGCATTGTTTGGTGAGTAACAAATACTTTGTTTTATAACTTTTTAAATTTAAATAAAATTTAAATGCATTCCTGATAGAGATGTCAGAATGGCAAATACCGATGATAGTTTCTGTCTCTTGCTACAGGCTTATGGACTAAATAAATTCTAAAACACCTGCTTGCTGTAGTTCATGTGCAAACCTGTTTTGTTTTTAGGAGAAAATTAATGTTTGGGTAACTGCATAAATTAAAATGGTCAACAAATTTCCTTCTCATTAACCACTTTCTCTCTGTTTCTAGTTCTCACATTCCCCATGTAGTTATGATGTTGCAGTGTAAGGTATGACAATGCGATGGTGAGACACTCTGGGTTTTACTCGTTTCTTCATCATGGCCCCCTTTCTCCCCCCCCTTCTATTCCCGATCACTCCTGTCCATTTCTAGGAGCCATCAATGCAGTGCCTTGCCATTAACTGGCAGGATGAGGCAAATCAGTGTCATTGTCACTCCATGGATTAACCAGAAAGGGATGCTGTGTGAGGGGTTGGGCTGGCCGGCTCTTCCTTGGTGTGTCACCTCAGCTCTGTGTCCAGCCTCCACTGGCCCAGGACGTGAGCGTCGTTAGTCTGATCCTCAACCTTAGTCTCTTGTGTGGCACCACACCTCTGGGCCAGCTAAAGGTAAACACTTTCAAATGTTTTTCAGACTGCAGCAATCCGTTCTGCACGACTTAGTGCCAGCCCGTATTTTGTTGGGCAAAACTTACTTGGTAACAGCAGAAATGTTTACTGATGCAATTTTACGGTTCCATACACAGGGGAGCAAACAGATATGCTCAGGAACTCACTAATACTAGACTTAATCACAACACATGGTGGGCTGTTCATGCTTTAATTCCAGGCTGGGATTTCTCTTCATCTATAAATTCTGCAGAATAAGTGTGATGACTCATGTATTCTGAGCAACTCCTTATACAGTACCTGCCCGTGTCTTTTTGGCCTTTTCATAACCATAATAGGTTACATATCTAGGAAAGGAGTGCGTTTTTGTGAGAACATGCCTTTATTTTTAAATTATCTAGATACCCCTATTGCCATGTGAAGAGGTGAAAAAGAAACAAAATGAGAACACCAGATTTCATTCTTTAGTGGAGCGAGGGGACAGGCATGCTCCATCTTTATTGTTAGTATTTGGGTAAGATTTAACATAGTGCTAGTGTTTTCCAGGTATAAATATTCTTGAAGTTACGCTTGTTCTAGGTGGCGTGCAAGAATTCAGGGTGATTTTAAGTGTTCCTCCTTTCATTAGAAGTAGTACATTTCTAAATTATATTCCTTAAACTAGGGGTCTGCTTCAAAATGAAGTTAGGGTAGTGTTAATGTCAACATTTTGGGAAGAAGGAGGAATGATCTCATTTATTGACTTGTTTTGAGAATGCTTGATTTATGGAACAACAGAGTGAAACATCGTGTAAATTTTCATCTTTGTGTGAAGCATCTGAGAACTAACTCCAAGCTGTAGAAGGTGCAAAATCTTAATTTCTGCTAAAATTCCTTAAAGTACACAAAGGAAAGATATAAAATACTAGGATGTGTAACGTAGAAAACTCAGTGTAAGATGAGTGCTATCCTATAATGTTTGGCTGGAAAAATTATCAAGTCATTAGTGTGACACACAGGTGTAATGATTTATTTTTTTTTTTACCGTCCAGTGTTTAACATAAAAATTAGAACAAGTATTTCTGGAGTTTTTTGTGTGGTTTTTATCTTTTGGCTAGAAATGTTTAATACCACGTATGTCACTTCAGCTAGGAGAGGTCTCAATTTAGCTTTTTTTCGCTCAAAATATTAATGGAAAACTCCATTGGTATTGCTTCTGTTTAGTTTTTTCTTTTTCTTAGGAAAAGAAGTCTTTTAAAAAATACATACTTAGGAAAAGCAATAAATCAAAATTCTAGGAAGATAAAAAAGGAACTTGGTTGTTATGTAGAAGGTATTTATAGCTCACAGCACAAACAGGCGAGGAGAGAGACTCGCTATACCTTTTGTGTTTCCTATACAAAGTACACTTTTATACGTGACTTTCTGCACTTCTTTGTTCCTAAGTATTAATGCATTTGAAGTCTTACTTATTTAGGACTGAAGAATTGTTCTTTTGAAATAATTTTTGTCTTCGACTTCCTGATACCCTTTTTTTTCTTTCTTGTCCTTGATTTCTTAAATTTTCTAGTGAATCTGATTTTTCTGTCCCAGCAATTTTTTTTTTGTCGTGCAATGCAGCAAAACCGTGATCTTATAAATAGCACAGCTTTGACACTGTTGATAACTTTGCAGCTGAAGAAAGAGTTGGGATAAGTTTGTTACTATTTGCAGCCTCCTGGTTAGACCTTAGAGAGAGAGTTAGCGAAGTGGAACCGGCAGAGCAAGAGTCCATAGTAGTAGCATATTGCAGTTCAAAGCAAAGGTCATTTGCTTACAGAAATGAAGTGTGATTTCCATTATAATTTTGGTCATAATGTTTTGTTAGTAATTTTGTCATGTATCTGGCATCACTACTCTAGCATTAAGTGTTTGCTCAAGATGCAAAGCTATCACAAGTGCAGTGAAGATCCTACTACAGGTCACTATGATCAGATTGGAATCGCTGTTATACGTTGGGGTAGACACTGAGATTCTTCCACAGTATCAAATGCTGAAATAACTTATTCTGTTAGTGGCCAGGGTGATAACTGGATAGTCTCCGGCAAATCTGCATTTTTCAAATCTCTGCCTGAAACAGCTGTCATGAGGAAAAAAGTCTCTTTTGAATTCAAGTGAGCAGGGCTGGGGAAGAGAAATTTAACACCAGTTACACCCATGATTCTTTTTTTCCAATTTATGTAAAATTATGTGATATTTAGAAGTGTGATCTTAGTGGTAATAGAGGCTATATTCTGTCTTGTTTTTTTTTTTTTCTTGGTAAATTAAATTAACTGCATGCTCACACAATTTTTTACCATTTTTTTTTTTGTTCTTAAAAGCGCCTGCTTTTAATTCTTCCCCTTAGATTGTCTAGGGAGCAGACAGTTTGGGGTTTGTTTTTGAGATGTCATATTCATTGCTCCCATGGAGATGAGCAAAATAAGAGGTTTGGGTGGATTTCTTATGTGCTCAGACATAATAAGCTGTAATAATGTATAAATATATAACTCCGTAATAATGACATGAGCCTCAACGTGTACCTGTTGTGTCACATCACAAAGGGACACTTCCCCTAAAATTGCTCCTCGGTCCACTGCTGACCTGTGATCGACTCAAACAGCTAATTCATGCAGACTCTGTTAGTTATTTTGTATTAATTCCCCATGTAGTTAGTCATTAACATATGCAAAAATTTTTATTTTACATACAGCCTCTCCTATGTGAAGTGAATACTGAAACATCAGTGCTTTGATATTTAGGAGGAAAATGATTTCTCCAGTTGTCTGGCCAGGTGCCTTCCTTCTCTTTTGTTTTGCACAGACATAAAGGCTTTAAATCTGAGAGTGGTTGTATTATTGAATAATGAGTTACAAATTTCACAGCACTAAATTGAAGTAAATGCTCACAAGCCCTTTGTGCAAATGCACTTTGTTTCAAATTTGGGACATGCAATTTGGGCCATGCCTCCAAAAAACCACAACATCTCATGGGTGAGCTTTGTGGTGGTGTTGCTTTTTCCAGTAGGGAAAGCAGTGACTTAAGTTGGAAAACTTAATATAATTTGAGAATTGTTACTATCACAGAGGAGCTGTGTGTTTTGTAGAGTACTGAAATATGATGGTCCTTTCAAGTCTAGTATTGATGAGCTAGGGAAGGAGCTCACAAAGAGCTTGAATGTGCTTGGAAAATATATGTGAATGAGAATCTTTTCTCCTATGAAAGTAACATTAAATGGAAATACAGTAACGTGGGAATCCAATTTAAAACTGGAACTAATTAAAGATTGGAACTCCTGTGTAGTTACTGGTATGAATTCACATATATTTTGCCCACTAGTCTGTGTGTTAGTAATGAAGAATATTCCCATTTTAGTCTTGTTCTGGATATACAAATAATTTAGCTTTTTTACAACTATTAAAGCAAGTTTACATCTGTACCTCAAACTACAGAGGGAAGGAGCAAGCACAGCTGAAAAGCAAGATAAAATTCATGGTTGTGTTCACTTTTAAACTCGTCTTGCTCCCTGCAATCCGAGTTTTCTGTATTACTAGTCTGGATATTTTTTTTCCCCAAAACCAGATAATAAATGTAATTTTCTGCTAGGTACTAAAATTGTATATAATTGTAAGCTACCCACGTACAGGAGAGTATTGATGTCTGCAGAACAGATCACAGGGACATGGTTGTGACTTTCCTTTAGGGAAGAGAAATTTCTATTGCAAATATTAAACGATTGACAGTCAGCAGCAATGTCCAAAAAAAAAACCCCTCAAAATGAATGGATTAAGCAACTGAAATGCTTCTTGATTTCAAATAAGCTTAAAATATTTTTAGATCTTGCAGTTTTGAATATGAGTCTTGAGTCAGCAGATTCAGCCTTAAGACAGAAAGGAGGGCAGGAAGACTTCTGATGAGTGTCAGTGGCTTCTGTTTAACCTACTTGTATTTATCAAAGGATGTGTAGATTATAAAGGATGTTTGTTTTCTAAATGAAAATTAGTTGAAGTTAGTATAAACACCTTAGTGGGTATGCTTTGTCTCAGATCTTGATTTCTTTCCTCATTGCTGTCTCCCTTTTGCCCCCGCTTTTCCCTCAAACAGTCTTCAGCTTAAGTTGTTTGTTTTTGAAAACTTCTAGTGCTGCGTTTGATACAGTCCTTGGAATAAATGTTGCTGTAAAGAAGCTGAGTCGTCCTTTTCAGAATCAAACCCACGCAAAAAGAGCTTACAGAGAGCTTGTTCTTTTAAAATGTGTCAATCACAAAAATGTAAGTTTTGGCTTTATATTTCTCTCCCTTGTTACTGTAAGTTGTCTAAAAAGCTTGGGATTTGCTCTCTTACTTGCCGTTAGTAACAGATATAATGGAAAAAATAGAGAAAGCCTGGAAAGATTTGCTGTGGGTAATGCAGTTCTCCACAGTGTATGGTTAGGTTCTTGGAGGAGCTGTTTGGACTATGAAGTGCCAGGAGGAGGAGGTTTTTGCTGCTCTCTTGGTATACATTTACTATCAGCATCAGCTTTATGGAGCTGGCTTTGTGCTATTGCATTTGCCCTTTTAAGTCATACTGCAGCAAAGCCTGTTTGGCAGTGGCTTTGTTTGAGGGCTTGGCTCTTGTAACTGCTCTGTAGTTAAATCTCCTGAGCTTAGGTGAGATTTTTATTAAATACAGTGTTTAAGTGGTGGGGTTTACTGGGGTGCAGTACTATTTAACAAGTTACTGGTAAACAAAAGTGAAATACTATGGACAAGACACATATTTTTAAATCTTTGAACCTTCTAAAATAACAAGCCTTAATGTCAGTACTTCAATGTTCAAGTACAAGAATATGAAGTTAATGCAACTGTTATGTTCTGATATTCACATGAACTAGAAACGTTGCTGACCATTGAAATTGTGAACTCAGGTCTCAAACTTTCTGGAATCAACTAGCCGTTTAGGATTGATTTCTGTTTTATTTTGGGGTTTTTTTAAAGTAAGTTTTTGGTGAAGTAACAGATTAAAAGCAAGGTGATTGTTAAGGATGACAGTACAGTAATTCTAGCAGTTCTCATAGAAATAGTGCATCGTAATCTAAATTTAATGGGATGGTGTGGGGGACCTTTGTGTATGTGTTGTTGGACAGCCTTAGTAAATTCCAGCACAATATGTGATTTAAAATAAGAGATTACTACTTATGGGGAAAAAAATGGGGTGTATTTCAGGCATTGGGGAGAGAGATGGAAGGTGTCTCATAACTATAAAATTAAAAAAGTAGTTTTGTCTTGTCACAGTTCCTTTGGCATACGTGCTGTAGTTTGGAACTATTTCTGAATTGGCAGTTTTTCAGCACATGTGAATTAAGTGAAGCCAAGTAACAGTAGAACTGGGTATAGTAACAATGTGCATTTGATTTTGAATAGTAGCTTCTGCAGTAGTGGATTTTTATGTGAATTAAAGCAGAAGTTTCTTCTAACGTTTTTTTTTTATTTTATAGATAATTAGTTTATTGAATGTGTTTACACCACAGAAGTCACTAGAAGAATTTCAGGATGTGTAAGTACTAGATTTTTGTTTTAACTTTCCTGAAAAGTACTGGCCTAAGTCATAGAGCTGTACAGACTTGACACTTTGAAAACAGAGGGTAGCTAAAGACTGAATTTAGCCTTTAATTAGTCTTCATTTCTAGATTTCTTTAAGAAGCACTAAGAAAGTTGTTTCACTGTATGTATAAGATGGAAGTGGGAAATAAAAAAGGTTATTTACCTTTTATTCATCTGTCTGTCATCCTTTGCTGATTGCACATGCATCTGATTTGTGTGTGTTGTCATTTAGCTACATGGGTCACCTCAGGAGAAGAACTTGGTCTGGATAACCCCATATCAGTGTTTTGCTATGCCAGTCACATCAGCACAACAGTATTTTTGGCCTGAATTAAGAACTGAATATATTTCTTTTTTATGCGAGCTATGTCGGTTGGTCTAGAAAGGATTCACAGTGATTTAATTGCTGGGGTATTCAGAGGTTCCAGTGAATGTGCTGTTGTGGTTTGTGAATGGGCTTTTTGGGTAAACGGGGGAGTGTGTGTGTCTGAAGCGGGTAAGCAGATGATATTTTGACTTGAAAATGAATCATTCCTCCTTAGTTCTTACTGAGCTTTTCTTAGTTTTCTGATTTATTTTTTTTTTAAATTACAGTGAGAGGAAGCATAATTTTTTGATACATTGCAATATCAGCAATTTCTGCATCAGTTTCAGTCAGTCTTAGTTTTTCACGCTGCATAAACTCAGAATTATTCTTGTGTATTGCTGTTTATAAAACTAGTGGAATTCTAATCTCTTGTGATGGACTATTGAACACTTAAGTTTTAATAGTATGACTTTGAATAGATAATTTAATTTTAAAACTGTGGTCATGCGTGATTATTTTTTTAATCATAAGCTTTTTGACACTTTAGCAAAGTAATTGACTTTTATTAAATATCTCTCATGCTAAGCTTAGACCTGATATAAGAAGTAAGACTTGAGTTTTCTTAACACTTTCTTTCTTTTGCTTTAGATATTTGGTTATGGAGCTGATGGATGCAAATTTGTGCCAGGTTATTCATATGGAATTGGATCATGAAAGAATGTCATATCTTCTTTATCAAATGCTATGTGGTATCAAACATCTCCACTCAGCCGGTATCATCCACAGAGTAGGTAGTATTAGATCATTAACAATACTCTTTATGAACACAGATGTTCTTATGAAACAACGGGGAAGGCAGGGAGTTGCTATTTCATACGTTTATATTTCTTCTATTTATAAGCATATTATTAAACCTGAAGATCTTTCTAGTTCAAAGGTAGACTGTATTGTAAATCGATCTTAAATTGGTAACTAATGCTGAACTGATTAAAAGATAAAACATGAGTATCTTTGGACCTCTCGAATTATTAAAGAATGAGTCTTTAAAATGTAATAATTACCTCCTAAATGTCTCTATCCTTGGAGATGCTCAAAAGCAGTCAGACACGGTCCTGTGCAGCTGGCTGTAGGTGGCCCTGCTTAAGCAGGGGGGTGTTGAACCAGGTGACCTCCAGAGGTCCCTTCCAACCTCAACCGCTCTGTGATTCTGAAAAGTAAACAATCAACTCTGATTCTGATTTAACTGATGTGGTTTTTTGAGTACTTAGCTGTGCGGCATTTAACTTGTCTCTAGCCTGTGTCTGAATAAACAGATACATCGGAGCAGGAATATGCAGTTGTTAATGTGAATGGGTGGCATATATTGACCGTGAAGGAGGAGTGGGTATTATTCTGTATGTTGATCCTTCCTTAACTGCAGTTATTTCTTGGTAGGATTTGAAACCCAGCAACATAGTAGTAAAATCAGATTGTACGCTCAAAATCCTTGATTTTGGATTGGCAAGAACAGCATGTACAAACTTTATGATGACTCCGTATGTAGTAACGCGGTATTACAGAGCACCAGAGGTTATCCTTGGAATGGGATATAAAGAGAATGGTAAGTTGCTGGAATAACACTTTAAATCTTTTGTCTAAAGCATATGTGTCTCAGAGCATCACAGCTTTAAAAGGAGGGGAGTGGGAGGGCTGTTTTCCCCCCGCCATGTCTGTTGTTAAAGTATGTTAATCGTGGTATTGGAAATAACAAAAATTACACTGTAATGATTTTGGGGAATATAATAATAGTTTTCTGCTCTGCGTGCCTCTCTCTGTTTAACATACACTGCTTCCTCTTCCCTGCCATTGTTATTGTTTTCATGTGTTGTCCTGTTGTCTTGTTGCCATTTTTTTTAATCCTACAAAAAAACCCTGTTGAGACACTTATGCATAATGATCCCACATCATTATACTGGATGATGTTAAAAAAGTTACTATCATCAATCTATAAATAATAAACCATTTTATCTATCTGATTTTATTCTGAAGCATCTTCTTGCAACATTTCTCCTCTTCTGCATCTCTGATTACTTTATTAAAATCTGTTTCAGAACCCTATGATAAACCATGTCCTATACTCTCTTAAATCTGTGTAGCACTCCAAGAGGCTGGGTGTTATATTACTAAAGACAACACGGCTATAATACACTGAACATTCAGCCAACAAAATTGCTGGCAAGGAAATTGTCCTTGTCTTGCATTACTGGGGGTTTTACCTGCTAATTTTTACCAGCTGTAGAGTAACAGGCTGCCTCCTCTGGACTTCTATGCTAGTATGTCTTTTTGCTTTATCACAGAGGCTTGGGATGCTTTTTGTATACAAGTAACATTGGTTGTGTAAAATGAGGGACTCGCAGGACCTTGCTGGGCCACTGATGATAAAAAAAACCACCATTTTGATTAATGTGCAAGGCAGCGTGTTGTACAGCAAGTGCTGATGTGGATCAGAACGTCAGTAGAGGCTGTTCTGGATGGGACAAAAAATAGATAATCTGAAGGACTGTAGGAATACAGTGTGAGCGTAAAATACATAATTGTGATATTTAAAAAAACCTCTTTAATCTTTTGTCCTTGTTGCACCTAACATATGATAGTGGATATCTGGTCTGTTGGGTGCATTATGGCAGAAATGGTCCTCCATAAAGTCCTGTTCCCAGGAAGAGATTGTATCCTTCTTCACGGTCGTTTCAGAAATGTAAACACTGATTATATTTTACAAAATGCTAATAGCAGAATTGAGCAACAGTCAGTTGGTGTGGATATGATTGAAAATTCATGTTAGCAGTTTGGTTTTCCACATTGTTGTGTTTTATTGTAGTTGCTAGATGTTTTTGTTTGTTTTCCTCACTTTTGTTCATGATACTTCATAATTTGATCATTTCATTTTTACTTTCAGTTGATATCTGGTCAGTTGGGTGCATCATGGGAGAATTGGTGAAAGGTTGTGTGATATTCCAAGGCACTGATCGTATCCTTCCCTAGTCATCCTTGAGTCCCACTCCACTTTCAACAGAAACACAATTATTTTGATCTGTATAAGTATAAAAGCATAAGCAATATTTTCAATAATACGTTTTAATAGATCTGCTGTACTATTTGAAATTAGTGTCATTAACCAAATTGTTGAGCTTACCATTTTGTTTTCTTAGCAGACTATATTTAATGTAATTTGTACTGGTTGAATCCATAGAATTTATATTAAGAGCTTCATCTTTTGTAGCTTAAAGGATACCGTTAGATTTAAAAAATAATTAGCACTAAGTATATTTTCTTACTCTTGTTCTTTGTCAATAATCTTATAAGCAAAAGCCTGCAAAGTTCCTTTTTACTATGCATGGATTTAGCTTACTATTGGTTTGAACAGTAGACTTTTTTTTTATTGTACAATTTTTTAAGTTTCAGTCAGATTTTTTTCTTGTTTATTGGCACCTGCTGGACAGCAGTGTCCTAATTGCAAGCACACTGCATGAGAAATGTTTTTTTTATTACTCTTATTTATTATAAAAATAAAAACTTTTTATTTTTGGAATTTTTTTCATTCTATGAAATTTTTATTTTTGGGCTTACTTTTTCTATAAGATTGTTATTCCTCCATTCCTTCCTCCAATATTTTTGACCCAGATTTGTCATGACAAAATACTGCTTTCTTGTACAATGGTAATTGTAGGAAATTTTACTGTATTAAAAACAAACAAAACCCTCATATATACGTTCTCATGCCTCAGAGATTGGAAATGTCATTAATACATCACTGGATCACAAACAAGTCTTTACGCTGTATTAAGTGTACAGAAGTGATCATTTAATAAAGTAAATGTTCTGGGAAGATTTTGAAGTATTTCAAAATATTTCCCTAGAAACAAAATTTAAAACATTTGCCTCTTTATCAAGTTCCAATTATAAAAATTGGAGCAAGACCAATTTCATCCTTTATAAACAATATCTTACAAAGTAGTAGTGTTGTAGGACTAGACATTAAAAATTGATCAGTGAATAAGTAGAATCCAGATGATGTAATTAAACCATAATTGCCAGCTATGGCTGTAGGGCATAAGAAGCCATTGCGGTCCAAGATTTTGAAGAAAGTGTAATATTTTTGCTTGTCAGCAAGGAAAATTTGAATCCACCACTAAAAATATCAAGTGTGTGTTCACACACACCTGTGTATCTTGCAGAGGAGGACTTTCAATTTTAATGCTAAATTTCATGACACTAATCTTCAGCAGTTGATCATGCATTATTTAGTAGTACAGATGATTAATCGTTAAATAAATATTTTTGTTTTCCACTTTTCTTCCTTTCTATACTTATTGTTTTACCTTTTGAAGCCTTCAGACCAACCTAACACAATTCTTCATGTATGTTATGTGTCTTTCACCTGCATGTTGGCATGCACTGTTTTGATTTATTCATGAAAAAATGAAGGAAATTTTGTCCATACTTGTTGAATATGCAAGTTATCACTTGTGATTCTCTGGAGGTCACTGAAGCTCCACCAGTCTATGTTCCAAGGAGTCTCCTCCCCTGGTTTCTTATCGAAGGGCACAGCTATGCTTACAGGGTTTTTTTTTTCCCCTTGCAAGACTTGCAGTTCTCTTTAATGTGAAATACACACAGACTTGCAGTTCTCTTTAATGTGAAATACAGATAACTGGTTGTGGTGTTGAAGCCTTTTCTGACTGATAGCAGCTTCAGTCAGATTATTTTCTTTTCCCTTCAGCTGCAGGATTGTTTTGAGACTGTGGTTTATGGGGGATGCTGGTGTGCATGGCTATGAAGCTCTGCAAGCTTTACATTGAAATGGAGGTTTTCTCCCAGTTTGGTTTCCAATAACAGGCTGAGCTTATTTCAAGTCAACTCTATATTGGGGAATTTTTTTTTTTTCATTTTTGAGTATCTCTAAAATACTTTGAAGCAGTCCAACAGAGACATTTATTTTTTTTTCCAGTTTCACAGAAGTTTTTCTGCCCTCCCCCTAGTAATCTGAGACCACAATAGATTGGACTCTTAATTTGATTAGCTGACTAACCAGACTGCTGTTACTGAAAGAAAAAGCATCTTCTTGAATCTAGATTGGTGGATATCTCCCATAAATCAGTTTTCCAGCTAAGAACAAAATTTCCTGATGTATGTTGCGGTTTTCTTCATATGTGCTTTGTTTTAGCATGAGAGTTAACAATATTGACTTCTTAGTTTTGATTTTAATATAGTTTTTCTCATTGGGATGTATTTAATAAGCAACTATAATTTTCAATCTTTGTATCAGAAGTCTATAGTCTTAGCACGAGCCAGTGAGTATATTTCTAGTTGTATTTTTGGCACACTAACTGAAATAAAAGCACCTTGGTGTTTTTTAAATACATGTTAATTCAAAATGCATCAAATTTGTTGTTTTGCTACGAAACCTGTCTATGAGAATGGATAAGTTGAAGTGCTAGGTTATGAATTTAGCTATGAATGTTTGCAAGGTCAGTGGTTAGACTCTACTGGAATTGCATTCTTTTTATCAGAAAAATCTATAAAGTGTAAATGTTGCACATTATTTTTATCAGAAAAATCTATAAAGTGTAAATGTGAGTAAACGTAAATCTCAGGAATATTAATGCAGTGTCTTGTCCATGTGATAAATGAGCTTCATTATTATGACTAGGCTTGTTCAGAGCGGACTCTGGTATCTCTATAGCAAGTGTCACCATGTCTAGGGGAAATGTCCTCACTTGCAAGAGGGAGAAGGGACAGTCCAGCAGAAACATGAGGCACAATTTCAACTTGCAGTGCAATTCCTATAAAATATTTAAATTCTCAATTTAAGAACAGTTTTTTTTTTTTTGAGTATTGCCACAGTTGATATACTTAAACATAAGAACCTGCTAAAAACCTGCAGGAATCTCAATTCATTATTCAGTTGAAAATTAAAAAACCCAACAAAACCCCAACCATCCAACCAACACTTCCACCCCCAAAACCCTACAACCCAAAGCCTAATTTCCTTAGGAGACAGCCACAATATGCCTTACTTTGAATGGAACATATTTGTGCTTTAGGTTTTTTCATTTATTTTTCCCTATCTTCAGTGGGGATGGTATTATGTTCTACTTCAGAAGACTCAGCAGCAGCCTTTCATTTCTGTCCTTATAGTTGTTTTGCTCTGCATATAATTGCCAAATAAGGCTTCTTATGGACTCCAAAAAAATATTTCTTTCAATACTTGCCAATAGATAGCAATTAGCAAAAGGTATTTAAGCATAATGCATTGTGCAGCACTTCTAACCTCTCCTTAAGATTACAAAATCTGAATCTCATTTTTATGTCAATCTAGTTTTTTGCCTGGCAGCTCAGAATACTGTTGATGCTAGAATGAAGTTCATGTTTGTGTCCTTTGTTTAAGTTTTCATTAACTTTTCAGATTTCTGTAAGTGATATTTTTGTATAGTGCAGACTTCAAATTCTTCAGCTGATTTTCCTAAAGATATGGTGCAGATATTGATCAATGGAATAAAGTTATTGAACAATTAGGGACGCCATCAGCAGATTTCATGAAAAAACTACAGCCTACAGTGAGGAACTATGTAGAAAACAGGCCAAAATATCCCGGTATTAAATTTGAAGAGCTCTTCCCAGACTGGATATTTCCATCAGAATCTGATCGTGACAAGTTAAAAAGTAAGGCGAGTTTTTTCTCTTTTTTAAAAGATATTAATTTAAAATGTCTGCAATATACTTAATTAAAAAAAAAAAAACTAATATAAAATTTTTATTGCAATAGCTGTCAACGTCAGAAACTGCTTACCTTCTGTTTCTTTCATTTATATGTCCTGAAATCTTAGTAGTAGTCATTACAGAACTATTTTCCTGTCCTAGTTTTCTGTTTAATTCTCTTAACTCTAATTCATTGGATAATGTCTGTCACTTAAATGTTCCTTGAAAGTAATACTTGTTATGGAGGTTACTTGGTATTATCTTTTTCTAGTTGATATGTGCATATAGTTAATTTTGCCTATACTTCGACTTCAGAGAATTATAAAATGAAAAAAAAAAACCCCACCCAACTTACTATATTCTCTAGATTGTCAAATAATTTTTCAAGCAAAAAATAACGTGCTATAGCCTATTTTATTTTTACATGATTGTTCAGACAAAAAAGAAATGTCAGTGAAGTGCCACTGCAATGATGGGTAGACAGTTACAGTACAGTAACACCTTTAAAAGAGAAACTGATTTGATGTTAGAGATGTTAGATTGTTACTGTTCCAAGATGTATTTTTAAAAGTTTATTTTAAAAGTTCAGTATGCTTTATGTTCAGTAGTCACTGCCAAATTAACTGTGACCCATGTGGCAACAGAACTGTTTGAAATTGAGGTTGGTTGGTGTCAGCTGCAGGGTTTGTGTTTTGGGTTGTAGTAAAATAATATTTACAGTAAAGGATTGTGTCTTCATTCAAACAAATAAAAGTAACAGTGTAGGAAATCTTGCATCTCTGGGCCTGTCCTGTCCCTGGCTGCTGATGTTTCTGTGTATATGGCAAGATGTGGAGCTTTGGTACTTGCACAGTTGATGTTGTTGGTGCACAGTGAGACTTATCTAACCCTGCAGAATTAAAAGTGAAGTATTCTTGTGTCACCAATAAATGGAACTTGTTGAAAAACATAGATGGTTAAGGAATCTGCATTGTGTGTCATCTGTTCCCAGTATTCGTTTTCTGTATCAGACATTAAACTCTACAACTCTCTTAACACATATCTTCTTTTTCATTCTTACTTTCTAGCCAGTCAAGCTAGAGATTTATTATCAAAAATGCTTGTAGTAGATCCAGACAAGAGAATTTCTGTAGATGAAGCCTTACGTCATCCTTATATTACTGTCTGGTATGATCCAGCTGAAGCAGAAGCCGTAAGTTTGCATTTAAAATACATTTTAAGATACCAGCTTAGTAACTTTAAAGAATACATTGTAAAGAACACATTTAGTTAAGAGCATGCTTTGAACTCTTTCTTTGGCTAGCAAAAGTCACAGAAAAAGCCTTCCGGTCAACATTAGGGGCAGAATTACCTGAAGAACAGTTGGTGGAGAGGAATTGATGTAGTTTTGGATGTAGTTGTTGATAGTTCCCTTTACTGTATGGAAAGAGGTGCCCGCATGATGGTAATCTAGGGCTTTTGGAAAAGGGGACTTTCTCTGGGGTCCCATTAAGCCTAATTTTAGTTGATGCCTTTAAACAGCCTTTCAGTGGGAGGTAGGACTTCAAAGCTGATTCTGGAGTTGTAAAATGAATGTAATTTTGAGGTATAAAAGATAAAGGTACCAAAATACTAAAAAAAGTAATTTTAGGATTTGTAGTTACGATTGGTTGTGTTAACCTAATGTAGTAGATAAGCTATAAAATAACTTTTCTTTGTAGCCTCCACCGCAAATCTATGATGCACAATTGGAAGAAAGAGAACATGCAATTGAAGAATGGAAAGGTAAAAAGTGAGCATGACAAATGGCAATTATTGTAATAACTTTTATTGTTAATACGTGGCTCACAGTATGTGTGTGCTGGCTTGTGTAACTGCCTGGAACTCACTATTCCAATTAGGCAGTGCTGCGTGTGGTGATATGAAAAATCAATAATGGAAAAATGTTCTATTTGGAGCAAATATATATGCATAAATGTGTGTAGGGGGGTGTGTGTGTATATATATGTAGGATTCTGAAATCCATTCAACCAAATGCCGCAGTTTTTTTTTCCCCCAAGTATTTTGTTGCTGTTAAGTGTTTGTGATCTCAGTGGGGTTTTTTCTTGATAGAAAATTCTCTGAGAGAGAAACATCCCTCAAATATTTTTTTACAGTCAATATTAATGCATTTTAGGTATATATAAAGTTTTAGGGTGGGATGATTGTTACTTTGAAATAGGCAGGTATTCTATGTTTAAAATTTTTTTATTTTGGTGCATTCTTAGTGTCTTTCTGTGATGCATAAAGAAAAACTGTAGAATTCTCTAATAGTTAAAAACCATTAGAGAAATAGTCTAATAAAAAGACTCTAATTGTTAAAAAACACAAAAGGAAAGTAAATACCTTTATAGTTGTACTTCCAGACTCACAGGTATATATAAAGTTTTAGGGTGGGATGATTGTTACTTTGAAATAGGCAGGTATTCTATGTTTAAAATTTTTTTATTTTGGTGCATTCTTAGTGTCTTTCTGTGATGCATAAAGAAAAACTGTAGAATTCTCTAATAGTTAAAAACCATTAGAGAAATAGTCTAATAAAAAGACTCAGTTAAAAAACACAAAAGGAAAAGAATACCTTTATAGTTGTACTTCCAGACTCACCGTTAACTGTTTCATTGTACATTCACGCGTTTGTAAATTGTATACAAATCCTGTGTGATCTTAAAGTGGTTTTTTGTCTCTTTTCTCATTCCTCCTGCCCTTCTCTCTTAAGAATTAATATACAAAGAAGTAATGGATTGGGAAGAAAGGAGCAAGAATGGTGTGGTAAAAGATCAGCCCTCAGGTTAGTCATTGTTTCAGTAGTTCTGCTCTAACTGTGACAGATAGTGCTGGTCTGTTGCACTAGTGAATGAGGAAATCCTGCTTAATAATCCAGGTAGGCAAAAGTTTTGTTGTTCAAGATTCTTGATCCACGTGCAGTAGTTTTTCAGAGTAAGTTGTAGGAAAACTTGAGAAGTCTTGTGTGTCCAAAACCCTGTGCTGCCTTCTCCCCAAAGGGCTTGGTCGTCAAATGAAACGATCGGTACCGTGTTACATCAGTTATTGCATAGATGACTTCTATGCTGAATGCTTATGCTGTGGCTCTGCATGAATGAGTCCCTTTCATGCAGGGTTAAACATTGTTAGGACTCCTTGTTTTAAAATAGTTAATAGTGCAAAGTATTTATGTCCATGATTTGAATCCTTGATGTTTGCTGCCCTTTACATTGTTCGGTAATTGGAATATTGCACTGTCTTTTGTGAACTGTATCTGTTAGATTTCTTGATAATCAGGTCACTATTTACATAATATGTTGCACATTTTTTTCCTTCCTCTTCGGGTGAAAAAAAATAAAAATCTCTTTTAATGCTCACCTCAGGTTTTGAGTACGAAGGAACTTAGTGCTTGTTTTTCTACTGTTGATTAACTTCTTTATTTTCTAAGGATTTCTGTGGGGAAAGTGATGCTCAGAGCCTAGAAACGTGGTTATTTGTGCCTGCAATATTGTCTCGCCTCAGATTTTATTATGTTTGGTTTACTTAGCACAGATGCAGCAGTGAATAGCAACACCAGTCCTTCCCAATCATCATCTATCAATGACATTTCATCCATGTCAACAGAGCAAACATTGGCCTCAGATACAGACAGCAGCCTCGATGCCTTGACAGGACCCCTCGAAGGATGTCGATGATCAGCCAGGATTGCAGACTTGACTTTGGAAAAGAACTCTTGCTTCCATTGGGCCTGAATTGCTTGTAAGTTAATGGAACCAAGTAGAAAAACTCCATGTTCTGCATGTTCTGCTAAAGTAATGCCTGTTTTTTTTTACTCAGTTGTTATGAAATTGCCTGCTTAATGTTGTAGAATGAAAGCAAATCAATGTCTAAAGATCAAAAAAATTTAGACACTATTATAGGCTTTTCTTTGTTTCAGCCTATTTCAGGTGAGCAGTTATAATAGACATTTAGCCAATAACTCCTCTTAAGTGGGTTCATGGATCTTCAGTCCCAACTGGCAGGCTTCTGTGACACAGTGGATGTTTACATTTTAGTACAGTATTGCTCATTAGTAGGTTTTTTGAATGTATAGTCTCTATGAACTTTGTTTTAACGTGTGACTGTGGCAGTTTGCTTTATTTAACGACTGGAGTGTTGTGTGTAAGTGTGAACTCACACATTGAACGCTCAGTACTATGTGTAAAGGGCAGTTATTCTTCCACATGGCACTTTTTAATTGAGCCCTTTCCATCTTCGCTTTCCAACGATTCTGTCTTCTTGTAGAAGAGATAAACGTGAAATTTAAAAAAATATAGCCATTACTTTGTATTTCACCTATAAGTATGTGTCTCTAACTTTTCCAGTTTTTTAAACGTGGATGGAAGATACAGTGGCTTAATTAAATCTTAAGGAAGGATGAGTGACTTATCTGTGAAGCAGTGCCTGTTTAGAAGAGGAGAGAGTGCTAAAATGTTCTGTATTTTCTAACTTGTAATATTGATCCTTTCACAATAACAAACAGAAATTATTATCTGTGATGCTCTTCATTCATTGCAAACTCTGATACCTATAAGTATGTGTCTCTAACTTTTCCAGTTTTTTAAACGTGGATGGAAGATACAGTGGCTTAATTAAATCTTAAGGAAGGATGAGTGACTTATCTGTGAAGCAGTGCCTGTTTAGAAGAGGAGAGAGTGCTAAAATGTTCTGTATTTTCTAACTTGTAATATTGATCCTTTCACAATAACAAACAATTGATGCTCTTCATTCATTGCAAACTCTGATGAAAGGAAATTGGAGAGACTTGCAGCCTCAAAAAGAACTGCATGAATGTTTTCCATTTTTTTAATGGGTCCATTCTACCTGGCAAATAATTAAAAAAATAAAAATGAAGGAGTTTTGAGTCACTTGTAAATTACATATTTAGTTAACAGAACTTAGCTCTATTCCCACATTAGGAAAACCTGTCTACTGGGGGAGGAAAACATACTTAATGCATATTTTCTAAATACAGTGTCAGAGAAGAGTAGACTATTTGCTGTTTCAATACAGGCTTATCAATACAGTTTTCGGAATCAGATAACAGAAACATTGCCTGTTACACTGCACAAAATACTGAATTAGAAAATGTGTTTGCAGCAGTGTCAGGCTTAAATTGCTTTATACTACATACTTGTGAATTCGTGCATGTTCACTTTGGAGTGCACAGGTGAGAAATTTTGCTAAAGGATCTTGTGTGTGTGCGTGTGTGTGAGATTAAACTATGTAAGAGTAATAGAGATATACAAAATGAGGTAAAACACCACTTTCTTAAAGGCACTATATTTAGCTGTTGATCCAGATACTCTTGACTTGAATTTAGAAATATCCTGGCCCAGCCAGCCACTGCATTACTGACATATTTCTCTTGTAAAAGAAAATTGTTCATTGTTTCTGACCTTACAATTTGAAAAGCAGCAATTTCTCTTTATGCAAACACAGCTTTTGTATTGAAATTGTATCCCTTTACAATAGATGAATTAGCTATAGCAAAAATACTAAAATTTTACTGTCCCAGAACGTTAAAAAAAAAAAAATTAACTAAGTACTTAGTATGATGTAAATATCATCTGGAATCTTGGATTTTTAAAATTCTATTTAATTTCATTGCAGGATATTGGGACTTGGGTTTTTTCTTGTTTGGTTTTAAACCTATGGATACTTTAATTTATTTTTGGATACTGACAGTATGTGTGAAATACTTCTAGTGCATTTTTGTCACTAGAAAAAAAAAATTTAAAAATACCGATGTACCATATAGCAGAACAGTACAGGTTGCTGTTTTTTGCATTTTTAAAAATCCTTGTTATTTGTGTAAGCTGAAATTATAAAGGCACCTATTCAAAATGAACATTAGTGATTCGCTAGGGAAGTAATTACTGGATTTCATTTTTCAATTTTTTATCTTTTTCAACTGAAGTTGCACTGTGCTATGTTCATTTTAACAGTTACTGCATTAGAAGACAATGTGACATTATTTTTTTTTCATGTGTTTTGGATATTTGCAGAGTTGAATTTTTCCTATTGGACTTGGGCTGCTCAGAACAAGAAGGGGGTTGGACCAGGTGACCTCCAGGTCTCTTCCAACCTAATTTATTCTCTGATTCAAATTGTCTTTTAATGTTTGGTTGGTTTTTTTTTAACACAGCTGCCCTGTTATCTCCATGATTTGAACTGATATGTGACCTTCTCCTGGTACATTCTGTTAGTTTGAATATGTAATCTTGGAACAAAAAAACCCTTGAGATTAACTGATCATATTTGTAAATCTTACTGTAGGAAATGCTGTCTCATAGTTATTTTTTTTAATGTCTTCTTGCTGTGACATACATTGAAGCTTCAAAATTTTACGGAAACGTTGCTTCCTTCAGAGCATGCATGAAATGTCTGTGAATATTGTGAGTTTTGATTCCAGTACAATTCAAAACCAAATTGTTATCATCACCTGAATGAACATCCATCTCAAGAAGGCACATACGCAGATTATAAGCAGAAAAGCGCATGCAGATTAGATGCATGCTAAAGTTCCTGTGCTATTTTGGTGTGCACATATAGGCTATAAATACACTGCATGCAGATTATATACCTAGAGTTGTATTTCCTGGCTGCAGATTGTGTCCGGTGCCACCTTGGTGAAATGGTTGTTGATGCCCTGAGAACCTCATCGCTGAGAGAAAACAAACAAAATGCACATGTAACGTGACAGAGGGTTAAAAGTTTAGAGTGTTCGGTGTGCAATATAATCACTTTTATTCCTAATACTAAAATCATGTATGTAAAGTGATGCAATTGACCGTTTTTTTTTTGCACTTTCACATTTATAAATATTTATATGTATTTAAAGATTAAGAATATGTGAGTGTGTGTATACATATATATTAAAAAACCTGCTCAGTTTTGTAAACATGAATGTTACTTTTTCTTTATGAGAGATTTTGTATAGTGTTAACACTACTGCAGTATACATAAACAATTTATGAAATGTGACTAAAAAAGAAGTGGTAGTCAGCATAGATACAATCTGTAACCTTAACTGCTCACCTGAAAAAAAGGAGGGTTCTATGGCTATCAATCAAATTATTTACCAGAAACATTATGTTAAAATATATGAACACTGAGTAGCTGAATGGCATTGCAGAAATGGAGTATGTTTTAAACAGTTCATTTCATCTGTGCTCATATCATTTTTCCTCAAAAAAAAGAAAATGTTAGAGAAGCTTGGCGTTTTGAAATCTGGAAAAGCAGCCTTTAAGTGTGCTTTGAGGAAATACTGTGATATGACAAGTCTGGGTTTTTATTGAAAAAGAGAAATGAATGTCAAAATTAAGGCTTTGTCTGCGTGGCTCATACAAAATAAACTGGTCTAATGACTGGAAACTAGTGTTTGCAAACAGCCTTTGAAGATTTGTGATGTTTCCAGTAAAGGTTTGCATTTCCTTGTCAAAATAATGAAAAATTAAACTCAACCTTAACTAGAAATTAACTAGTTGGTTGGTAAGTTTCAAAAACTGTTAGGAACCAGAGGGCTCTGAAGGTTTTTTTTCTCTTTAAGTCCTACGAGAGCATACATGTTTATTCAAAAATTTTTTTTTTTTTAAAAAAAGTGATTATGTTTAATATTTCTTTCCTAAAGGAAGGACTTCAAGTGCTAAATCAGTTTCCTTTTTCCGATCCGATTTGTATTGGGCTTCAAATTCTAATTTTACGAATGAAGTTGGATTTAGACATTCAACGTGCAGCTGAGGTTTCCGAAAGCTGCGGGGATGCCCCTGCTTTTGGCTTTTTTTTGCAGCCCTCTGGGTCCAGCTCTTGGAGCGCAGACAAATCCTCGCTGAGTGCGGGGCCGCGCGGAGCAGGGGGTCGGGTCTTGCAGCGCCGGTTCGTTTGAAGCGTCCCACTGGAAGTGGAAGTGCTTGAAGCACGGTGGGGGGTAAATGCTGAACAGCCTTTGTCTGTATAATTCTACGTGTGTCATATGGATTCTATCAGGGCTTGATGCTAAACTTCGTGTGATACCATCTACTGGGAACCAAATTCTTTCCTGGGATGCGTTTCGTGTCATTCCTGCTCAAAACTGGTTTTGCTCCAGGGACACCTGCACCCAGATGCAGAATTTGGACTTGAGTTCCTATAGATTAATCAAGGGATTTCTTTGCTTTTCCAGTGTGTCTTTGATTATATTTTTTTTTAACATGTTGAAATATGACGGAAAAATTGTATTCTGGGTCATTATTTTACATATATTTCAGAAAAAGTGTATTCTGGGTCATTATTTTACATATATTTTAGATTGTCTATTACATGAGTGATGGTGATGTTCTAAAAGCTTATTACACAATTTATCAGTTTTATTTTTTGCCCGCTCTGCATGCTAAAAATGTCTGGAGCTAAACTAATGTTTTAAGTAAACCATCTTTTCTCGTATCAGTGTTGGAGGAAAGTGGAGAGATAACCGTTGTTTCTGTTTGTGTTCTATAAAATGACTATTTTTGTAGCTAAAACTTTAGTTATTGGATTTCAATCCCACAGTGTGGCTTTGTGGATATAAATTTACCTGGGTCCGCTATTTCAAACAGTATATGTATGACAAGTCCAGTTTAAAATTAAACTAATAAAATGCACTCTTCTGCAATTTGTTATTGAAAATACGGCAAATTATTTTGGTCTAAGAATTCAAAGCAAAAAAGAGTAAATCCATTTAGCTATTTACATTTCTAATCCTTGATGCTGCTGCTTATTTTTTGAAAAGGTGCTTGCAGTTTTGCACAAAAGAAATTGACTTTATTGATTGCTGGGTTTGAAGCACTTTAGGATTCTTCTTAATACAACCAGTATATGGTGTAAAAAGGAATGACATAAAAAGAAATGTTTAACGTGTTTAAATTTTGGTTGCAATCTTTACTATTCCGATAGATTTGATCGACATGTTGCTTTAAATATAAACCTGTTTTCAGAGATTTTTTTCAATTAGGAGATCTATTTTTTTTTATGGGGCTAAAATTGAACACATAGTAAGAGATCATTTGAGAAACATCTTGCACTCAGATGCCTGTGGGCTGACTTGGAATAGCAGCGGGACTTCCCAGCCATTTAGTGTAGAAAGAGAGAATAAAGACACAACACCATTTATCCTGTAGCGAGATCAGCTCGCTAGGAGCACTAGCATCCTTTTTCTTAAACAAAACCATTTTTATTAACTTTTGGCTGTGCATCCTGAGGTTGTGTGTGTTATGGTAAGGCCAGAACATGTGCTTGTTGGGACTCCACGGCAAGGGATGCTCTGTGAGCGCTGCAGGAAGACTCTGTCCCTGCCCTAAAATACTGGCCCGGAACCCTGTGACTTCCCACGCTGTGCTTCAGCACGTCCCTGGCACGTGTTTCCAGGCTGGGTCCGTAGTTCAGCACTCACAGTTTCTTAGGATAACAGCAGCAGAGAGAGAAAGGAGTGGGGTAAGAATGATGTTTTATGTTCACTACCTGAAACAGTCGTAT